AGAATGATGGTTGCACCCTAATAACGCATGTGGAATCCTCACTAACAGAAAAGAAAATAAGGGCCAGCCTGTGCCAAACATCTAATACACCGGGCTACAAACAAGAAAGACATCCCCACACCAACCAATTCATACAGATCCACTTACATTTATTCCCTTTCGAATGACCACATACCCTATACCCCACGTTGACACGATGCGCTTTTACAGGTGTGCATTTGTAACTTCTGTGAACTAACTAGCAAAGGAGAATACAAGATATCCAGCTGGAAGGGGAACCAGTGATTTCCATCCCTGCAGCCAATCCCACTGTAATATCTTCCACTTGGTGCTGACAGCTTTCTCTTCCCTCCTCTCATTCCGACACAATGCCGTCGGGTCTGTCTAAGTAATGCAATTTACTGGAGTGGAATTCCCCTCGGACCCTGTGCAGCACTTGGTGACAGTGTCATTTATACTTCCTAGTGTCGTGGCCTGACACTGATTCAGCAGCCTTCATCCCTCATTCACGGCAGAGCGTGAAATTTCACCTTCTGCTGTGCCCTTCTGTAGTGTGTGCGTCCAAATTTACTCCATTCAGCCTTAATTACAAACCTTGGTTAAAATGCTCTCATTAGATTTATATTTCTCACTCCAAATGTCAATCTTATTGAAAATTCCGATTTTCCCGGGGATTCATCCATTAGCAATAAACTCTAAAGCATTCCATGACTGAGTGCATTAAACCAGCAATGCGGACATGCACTTAAAATACATCATTAGAGTAAATCTCCATTGCAAATGCTTTACATTATTCAACCAGAGGAATAATGAGCTCGGCCCAGCCAGTACCCTCAAACTGCACATGAAGGATAGGTTAAAACTGGCTGTTATCCTGGAAGAAGCACACGGTGTATCAATGGCATGGATTTCAGAGTCTCTGTCATTCCTTATGAAGGTGTGGGAGGAAATCACAGCCACAGCCTCATTCATCACCTTCTTTTGCCTACGGTTTTTGCAGAGACTCCAGTCTATGGCAAAAATACAATAATGCAGGCAGAGAAAACAGGGGGTGTCTGTGTTCAGGGAGGGGACTCAAGCTATATATCCATAAAAGGGGACTAAAGCTATATCCATAATGCCAAGAACTTTATTAGTTACCTCAAATGATTTGCTCTGTCTAAAAAGCATTCTTCCATTTCATTCAATGGAAAAAAATTCTAAAAAGCAGCACTGTCTGGATATACAGTAAGAACCTGGGCACCATTCTAATGAAAGACAGATCTTACTGGTGGACTTGACCTGAGAAACCTCTTCACTCCAGCCTGTTGGGTACCAACGTTAAAAACCCAGAAACCCCAATGGTGATGATGAAACACAAGTTAAAAGTCGGAAGTTGTATCTGTCAGCAGATAGGACAGACCATGAAAAAAAAAAAATGGAGAGAAATTAAAACAAACAAACAAAAAACTAGCAAAATATATCAATTGGTAAAACCAAGCCTTCACTGTTTTCTATCACTCCCATGTTTTAATTCCTTAGCTTATTGATCTCATTTATCACTTCTTGTCAGGTCCCAGGTGAGACAAAGTGAAGTTGCAGTCGTAATTTCTTTTTTAATTTGATAAATGAAAACACTGTATCTGAGAAAGGTCATGGAGGAGACTGAAGGAAGGGTCTGATGTGAACCCTTAGCATCTAATAATAAAGGTTAACCAAAGAAACTAAGTGATGCCTATCAATTATGACCTTATCATGAAAATAAAATATTTTACATTTTCCTTTTTTTTTTTTTTTAAGCAAGCTCTACACCCGGCTTGGGGCTTGAACTCACAACTGAGATCAAGAGTTGTATGCATTACCAAATGAACCAACCAGGTGCCCCAAATATTTTTATTTATTTAAATAGGCTCCATGCTCAGTGTGGAGCCCAATGTGGGGCTTGAATCACAGCCCTGAAGTCAAGATCTGAGCTGAGATCAAGAGTGAGACACTTAAACGGCTGAGCCATGCAGTATCCCTATATTTACTTTTCTTTAAAAAAAGATTTTATTTATATATTTTTAGAGAGAGCGTGCACACGCAAACAGGGGGAGCTGCAGGCAGAGCAGGCAGAGGGAGAAGCAGGCTCCCTGCTGAGCAAGGAGCCCAATGCAGGACTCCATCCCAGGACCGTGGGATCATGACCTAAGCCAAAGGCAGACACTTAATCAACTGCGCCACCCAGGCGTCCATATGTTTATTTTTTTTAAATGGAAAAATTTGGTGGACAAAATTTGGTGCCCTTAGAAGGGCAGGTATACATGAAATTAAACAGTAAATAATTTTTTAAAAAGAATAAAAACTAAAAGAAGCAACAGTAATTGTTTTCTGCCTGTCAGTATCTGGTCATCTCTAAGACTGACTGGTAACCAGAATTGTAACAGATGCAATGTTTTCTGTAGGGAATTACACCACCATGGAAACTAATTGCTCCTGAAGTTTTGCCCATTTCTACCTGATATATTTAAAATTGTACTTGATTACACCATTAGTGTTCTCTCTTTCAGAATGTATATCAGCAGGTACTACAATTAATATGCACAGATGTTAGAACCGAAATATCCATGTTTAAATAAAAAACATAGCGAGAAGGTAAAAATAACTAAATGTGCCCAACACTGTACTGATCTTAAAAGGAAAGAGAGGCTTACGTTGTGCTGGCTTAATGGCAAAATAAAGAAATACCCCCCGGATGGCATCAGTAACCCTATGAGGAACCAAACTACTCCGTAAATGACTTGTCGCTTTCTGATTGAGAAACAATGAACAGGAGGCTGATCGTGTGTCCATTTAATTCCAAAATTCACACCCCAAGCATACAGGGGGAACCCCAAATGCCCTAAAAATCTCCAACACATTCCTATGTTACAAAAGCACAGATCAGAGTAACAATCCCGTCGTTTTGTTAAGTGCTGGCTTTGTGCTTCATCTACGTTATTTCATTTAATCCCCACAACCAACCTCTGAGGTAGGTGTTATCCCTGTTCCCATTTTCAAATAAAAGATTAAGTAATAGATCAAGGTCAGCCCACAGCTAAGCTCAGATTTGGTCCCAAGTCCTCCTTCTCCCAAAGCTCTTGCCTTGCTTCAACCACCATGCTTTCCTGTCTGCCTCGGTTGGAGAAACCAATGAGGAATGTGATTTACAGTCTTCAATTTCCAGAGGCTTCTGGAATGACTGTCCTCCTGACTCATCTCATTTCACAAATTACATCAACCTGAAAGGCTCAGAACACTTGCAGACATTCTCATTCTTTGGAAATGCCACAGCCACTCAGCCAGTGGAATGGGGACAGCACCATCACTGGGATCACGAAGGTCCAAATTTCCCTGTGAACGCTGACGCCACCTCTCTTTGGTGTTTCTTCTAGCCACAAACTGGCATGTTATCGCTTACTGTGGTTGCAGTAGACTCAGCAGTCAGAGGAAGGGGAGTTTTTACTTGGTTAACTGCCCCACCCCCCAACATCTATGTCCATGGAGGGCATTCCAGGACAGGCATGCCCTCCCTCATCCTTGTCCCCTTTCCCCACCAGCCCATGAGTCCCCACACAGAAGACATGGCTAATCTCTTGGCAACGCCACTAAGAGCCCCTTCCCTTGCTGCTCTACGAGTCTTCAAGAAACAACTTTCTAACAATGAGTCAAAAAGATGGATGCTTTAAAACAGCATTTCAAACAAGGCAATTACTTTTTAAAAAAAAAAAAAGATCTGAAGATTCTATCACATCTTCTTTCAACCTTCCATCGACACAATTTGTTTATGTATGAGTCGTGTCTTTCTTCCTTCAGAAGGGGAAAAATGTTGATAAACTAGCACATGCAGACAAACAGCGCAAAAACCCGGCCACCTCTTGCTGCTTAAACAGAGTCACATTTATTTCCCAATGCACCACTTACCAGACAGATGCAAAGATGTGGGCAAGCCAGTCATCAGAATTAACAGAGTGATTGTGCTTGCACTACATATTCTGATTTGTATGAATCTTATTTTTAGCCATGCACAAAGGGCAATAAATGGAAAATCTTATTCTAACCGCTACTTTTTCTGGGCCACCCACACTGCTCCACCTACCGCCCAAGTTCACAAATGTACAAAAAACCCAACCCAGGGTTTGTCCTAACAAGGGATGCAAAGAGGCTAAAATGAGTGACATTTTTTCCAGTTAGTGTTGGTACTTTCACTCTTTTTCTGTATCAGGACTTTCAGGGAAAACAACGTTGACTTAATCTACAGGCATTTTCCAAGACTCCGCCGCTGGTACGTCCTTCAGCGCACAGGCGAGCGTGACCCGCCAGGCGCGGGCACCTCCCTGCCTCGAGCCGCATGTCAGCCAACTTTCAGCAAGGAAATGCACCCGCAGACGTTTCTGTACATACAGGGAGATGATACCTACCACATTTTGTTTTGAAACAATGACAGCGTTTTAAAAGTTCTTCAAATGAACCAAAGGGATTAGCAGAAGCAGAAGCATTTCTAAGACGGAGCAGATGGTTGGAAATGATTTCACCCAAGTTGGGTCAGTATCACTTGCCCTAAATCTGCTTTTAGTTTGCGGTGGGACAATGCACACCAAGGCACAGGAGCCTCCTGCCATCCCCCTTCCCTCCCGTGCAGCCCCCTCCCCGTCCGCTCCGTCCACAGTCCCCACCACATGGCCGGCAGCCCACCAAGCAGCTGATGCTAAGACAGACACTTTGAGAGCGAACCAGAAAAACACAGTGATGAAGAGGACGTTTTCTAGGGGCACAGAGAGGATAGAGATGAGAACCTACTGTTGATCTACCATCTCTTTAGGCTTTTAGTGAAAAGTTAAATTATTAAGGCCCCAGGGGAGCAATTAAAATGCTTGTTCTTCCCAACCCTCTGCAGACCCAACAGCAAACACAGGCAGGTAGTGATCAATATTTAAAAGTCAGCTCAACAAAATAATTAAGACACAAAAGGAGGCAACTCTGAGAAAGGCGTCTTTCTTTACCTGTGTGCTTGCTCATTATCCAGAAACTAGAGGAAACGTTCTGTCATCCTCTGGTAGCTAACACACGCCCTGCGCAGCTAACACCTTCTTCCGATAACGCACGGTACTAGAACAGCCCTGGTGAGGTGTATCAGAAAACCTTTTTTGGGTTAGAGTCCACTCTCGTCAGACCATCTGACTAGTGCTGTAAAAACACGGGTAATTAAGTGTTACGAAAAAGTGGGTCATACACCACTGAGATACAACCACACCGCCCCCAAACTAGCCTCCAAATGACTGTGCTCTGAGGAGGTGGGAGGGGTCTGAACACAGCGAAAGCAAAACTTTTATGTGGTGAGGAGCATTTTGGTTTTCACTGGTTTAGGTTAGAGAAAGTTAATCTCAATGTCAACTACAAACCAAATAACTTTTAACGTGTTCTTGAAATTTTATGACAAACGCTGGCTGTTCATGTAGTGGGAAATTCAGGTACAATGTCATAAACAGTCCAAGGGACAGTCTCAGGCTTAAATGACATGCCCGTCCCGGAGAGCGAGAGCTGTGACTCAGTGAAGCGAGGCGGTCAAACCGAAACTGAAGACAAAGTAGCAAATTCTTATTATCCACATTAGCATCTCCTTCTCCTAGGGAGGATCAAAGGACTGTATACCACTTCCCCACACCTGGAGCCAACCAACCTGAGCATTTAACAATCACGGATTTTTATCAAAACACCCTTTGACTTCTGTAGCAAGAAGGCAAACGTAGTACCTGCATTTAATGAGCACGTTCATTCATCTGTCACTCAAGAGACACAGAAATATTAATTCAGTACCTACTGAGTTCTGATTATAAACAAGGGCACAAAGGATGGGAAGGGATGCAGAGAGAAGAAGCTAGAAGAATCTGCTTTCAAAGAACCTCAGTCTGACACAGGGGAGAAGACCTAGTCATACCCATGCCAAATATAGATTAATCTTTTAAAATAAAATCTATTCTAGCAGCTGCTCATTATAGACTTCCTACCCTTTTTTTTAAAAATTATGTTCAGTTAGCCACTGTATAGTACATCATTAGTTTTTTTTAAACTTTTTAATTTTTTTTATAAACATATAATGTATTATTAGCCCCAGGGGTCGAGGTCTGTGAATCGCCAACTTTACACACTTAACAGCACTCACCATAGCACATACCCTCCCCATCATTAGTTTTTGATGTAGTGTTTCTGTTGACAAAAGACTTGCAGATAACATTCCTACACTATTTCTCAGATGAATCTTTTAATAATCCCCTAATTTTTTTTAAAATCAGGGTTTTCTTTCAGTGCTCAAAGTCCTTCCTAACCTTGGCTACATATTAGGATTCATCCTGATCCAAAGCCTTAGCATTCTCGGGTCAACTGGGTGGCTCAGTCAGTTTAAAGGTCTGCCTTCTGCTCCAGTCATAATACCAGGGTCCTGGGATCGATACCTACAACAGGTTCCCCCTTCAGCAGGGAGCCTTCTTCTCCCTCTCCCCATGCTGTGCTCTCTCTCAATCTCTGTGTTAAATAACTAAATAATTAAAAAAAAAAAAACCCAAAAAACAAAAATAGTCCTAGCATTCTCCAAAGGGAAGCACAGAGTTACCAACACAATCCCAGGAGTTATCACACTATACCAGAAGAATTTGAAGAGAAGTTTCTTTGAAGGGGGATAAAGGATACAAAGTTGAAGGAAAACTCTGGTTCATAGCACAAGAAAGGATATATTTGAATCACATTTTGTTACCATCAGGTATAAAATTAGAGTTCTACTGGAGAACATATTGTTTGGATTATGGATGGGGAAAGGGGATCTGGCTAACCAAACTTTCCCATTTCTGGCAAATTCTGTAGAGCATACTGAATATGAATTTTTACGTAATTAGAATACAATGAGTAGATCTAACATGAAAACCATCCTGTACATAATTAAATGCTTCTTTTCTAATTCCAGAGGCCCATGAGGATCTTGCAAGGCCACTCAATAATCATTTTTATTAACAAAATGCAGAAATGAAAAAAAAAACAGTTAATACTGATTTCCGCTCGATAGAGATAATGGTGTATCTACACAGGTATCTGTTCTTACAAGAGTTGATTAATGTAATTTGAAATGAGAAAAATAAGAAAGAGATCATTGTCCTAGAAACTGATACCTGAAGTCATCATTCTTAAACTCCACCAAATTTGTAAGATATAATCAGTCCAGAATACTGCTTGTAAATTTGGAATTATCTGATTAATTGAAAAAAGTCTGGAAAAATACACAAAAGTATTTAACAGTCAGGTGCTATCTAGGTGGCTGGATTATAGATAATGTGTTTTCTTCCCTTTTCTGTTATTTTATAAGTTATGTACAATAAACATATTACTTTCACAATCAGGAAAATAAAGTTACTTCTGCTTTGATGAAAGGAAACAATTAATTATTCTCTGATTCTGCTCTTCCTACTAATTAGAAACAATTAATACATGGAACCCAGTATAATAATCTGGCCTGGTGACAAGTCAGACATGAAATACAGGAAAAATCTACTAGAAACAATAGATTAAAGCTTCTAGTTAAGTTCTGCGAGGACTCTTAAGAATCTTGCTACACTCTAAAACGTTGCAAATACCACTCTTTCGCATCATGATCCATGGTCCTGGCACTCTCCAGCTGCAGCAAACCTCCAGATGGTAGGGCCATCACAATGACCAGTTTAATGGGGGAGGGTGGGGCGGTGTCCTTGTAAGAGCACGGTGCCCCCATTTGTGTTAAATCATGGCTCAGACAGAAGTGTCACTTTGCTAATGAATGGCACATCCAAAAGAGACCCTATAAATAATTTCTAAAAGCAACAGACTGGAAATTACTAGAATAAGTAGATAAACTATTTGTGCTACAACTGATAATCACTTGGTAGAGCAACTTTATAATATGCATGGCTGAGTTTATTTGGAGATTCACAGGGAATACCAGTTGAAATTTTTTATTTACATATTAATGTATATTACCATGCTGGTGATATCACCCCTGTCTGTACCATTAGGGTATATGCAGAGAACGAAAATTAATTTTGATGATGTCTCGAGCAGAACATAATTGTGAAACTGCATGCTACAAGTAAATATATCATACATTCTTTTAAAAAAATACAACAGAATTGGCTTCAAAACTATGCCAATGGTTTTCCAGTAATTCCAGGAAATAAATATATATGTTCATTAAATTATTTTCTATAGTACTCTTAATATCATTAATATCACAACTTTTAAATTGCTTCCAAGCATGATAAACTTAAGGACAATATCTGAAATTTAAACTCGGACACTGGAAAGGCAGTAAAAGCCAAAACCTGCACAGTTTTTCAAGAAGAATAAAAATGATGTATTTTTCTTCCAGAAGTCAACAGTTTTAGATTATTAATTAGGGCATGAAAATAGCTAAAATAAAACTTCAGTTAACTGGACTAATTTGAGGACAGGAAGATTTTTGTTTGTTTCAAGTTTCTGGTCAATTGGCAGATAGCTAAGAAATGCTTTTTGTTCAAAATATTTCCAAAGTAGTTTCTTTTCCTAATTTTAAAACATTTAACCATTCTCAATGATTCAGCAGGTCCGTGTCATCAGGTATAGATATCCCCCAGGGTATATTCTCCATTTTTACTAAAGCAAAACTATCTTGTTTTCTGAATATCTATTTCTGAAAATGGGAAGTGGGATGTGTGCGGTAGGTAGGGTGGGGTGTGCGGGTGGGGGTCAACTAGGGGTGCGGAAATGTGAAGGTCAGTTAATTCAGGCTTCTGGTTAGTTGGGTTCCAGGTAGCTAAGCCGTCACCAAACATGAATTCAGTGTCTGGAACGAGGCAATCTGATTCCTAGGAAACATGAGAGCCTACAAGGGGAGCCCCCAAGGGTCTATCTTTGTTGGTATTCTCTACCTTACGTCATTCCATCTGGGTGACTTGGTTTGCTGGTCTTCTCTGGGGGAAACCCATGTCACTGTGTCCATCTAAAAATTAAGTCTCTGAACTCATGGGGTTGAGTTTATTTTGATTTGATTCTACAGCCATGTCATTTCAACTCAGGCTTAAGGAGAAGGCAGCCACAAGAGGATGTCAAGGATGAAGAAACATTTGCTTTTCTGTCTCTTGGACTTGCTGCCCTGGATTGTCTTTTCTATAAAAACCTTTAATTCCAGTTTCTGATATCTTAGTTGCTGAAACCTTTACTTTGCCCTCTCACCATGACCTAGAGAGTTTATCTCCAAGCAGGTTTGGAGAGTCTGGGTAGGAATGATGGGGCTGATTTAACACTGATGAGTTAATTTCCTCTCTCTCTTGGTTATACCTTTGCCTTAAGCCAAATACATATATATATACATACGTATATGTATGCAATACACACACACACACACACACACACACAGACACACAAATAATCTTGGTTATTCCCTGATTATTCCTTCCACCTCCCTTAAGAGGGCGTGGGATAATTTAGGAAATGGGTTTCTGAGCTTTCTGGAACTGTGGGTCCTTATGCACTACTCTTAAGGAATGATAAGCCCTGGTCAGACTCAAGCCAGGACCTGAACGTCGTACAGGAGGTCTGAGGAAATCATGGCTCCTGGCTCCCACGAGACTCTGCTGACCATTCTCCAAGTCCAGCTTTCAGGAAACATAGAATAAAAAGCAAAATCTCCCCAAAGTCGGGTCCAAAGAGATCAACCTTGTAAGTTCAATCCTGCATATTCCTCCCAGAACTGCAGGACTGACTAAATTGTTCTGTGACACAGGTACACTGACACCTAAAACTATAGTGATTTGGTGATGAGGGGTATTTTATATTTCATTTGGAGTCTGGAGAACAGGCATTATAATAATTTGAGGTCCTGTTCCAGGAGAATTATCTGCTATTAATTTTGTTCCATAGACTTCCCTTTTCCTACTAGGCTTCAATCTGTGGCTAATATTATAATCAAGTCTATATCCCCTAGTTTGTTCCTCAGCGTCCGTCCCTACTGAGGAAGACCTGTTACGTGTCTTAGCGAAGCACACAGGTAAGGCCGTGCATTCTGGTGCTTTATATATATACTTGGACTCGTTGGGGAACACACAATTCAGATGAACTGAGCAGCCCCGTTACAGGTGCACAGGTAGGCACCACTCCCTCCATCGCAGTGAAACAGCTTTCCTGTCGGTGTCAGGGGCATTTGGTTGAGAGTACAGCTGTTTATGGCAAATTGCTCTGGGAGTTTCTGACAGACCTGTCCTTGCCCTCACAGAAAACCCTCCCTGGGACTGAAGTACACATTCTGCAGATCCCTTGCCTTTGCCCAAAGGGTTCCAGGGAAAGAGTCAGGGCGGAGGGAGGTCTGAGGCCCATCGCCAACAATTCTCACCTCGCCGTCGCAAACTGTAATAACTTTGTCAAGCACTAGTTAGTTATTCTGCATAACATTCTTGGAAGGAAAGTGACCTCCGGTATTGAGTTTAAAAAAATCACTAATTAATTATTAGTTAACTAATTATTTTTTACTGGGGTAAGATATATACATATTTACCATTTTTAAAGTATATTCACATTGTTGCACAACCATCGCCACTATCCATCTCCAGAAATTTTTCATTTTCCCAAAGTGAAACTACCCATTTAATACCAACTCCCCATTCTCCTCTATTCCCAAACCTTGGCACCCTTCATTCTATTTTCTGGCTATAAGCCTAAAAACTCCAGATACTTCATGTAAGTGGGATCATATAATACTTGTCATTTTGTGTCTGGCTTATCTCATTTAGTTTCTTCAAAGTTCATCTATGTTGTGGCATGTGTCAGAATTTTGTATCTTTTTAAGGCCAAATAATATTCCATTGTATGTACATGCTCCATTTTCCCTACTCATTCATCCACTGATAGATGTTTGTGTTGCTTCCACTTTTTGGTTACTGGGAATAACGTTCTAGGAACATCTGTTCAAGCTCTGCTTTCAGTTCTTTTAGGTATATCCCCAGAAGTGGAACTGCTGGATCCTGTGGTAATTCCATGTTTACTGTTTTGAAGAACCGCCATACCTTCTGGTATTTAGTTTTTAGTTTTTTTTTTTTTTTAAATTCATAAGCTTAATTGTTTAATGCAGATTTAGGTTGAGAGCAAAACTGAGTGGAAAGGAGAGAGGGTTCCCACACCCCCCACCTCCCCACTCCCATCCCCACACAAGCATGACTCTCTAGGCACTCGGTGACTTGAGTGCTTCAACCCAGGCAGCAGTGAGTGACCTTGGCAGGCTCTGCCAGGTAGGGCAGGAGCTCTAAGCGCCGAGTCACCTGAGGTGAGTCACCTGAGGTGTCCGAACAGCCTTCTGCCTTCCCAGCCTGCACTCATGCAACTGACTGCCATCTAGGGTCATCCCTACAGGAAACCTGATGTGTAAACATGGGCACTCACAGATGCCAAAGCAGGAAGGCAATTAAGGAGGGTTTGATCCAATCTACTTCTTCCATATCATGGCAAAGATGCTTCATACACTCAAAACGTTGCTTCCAAGAATGCTGTGCAGAATAACTCATTAGTGCTTGACAGAGATGTTATATTTTGTGAGGGTGGAGTAAGAAAACACAGTTACCTCACTCACAACTCTATCAGCCCTCTTACCTGCTGAGTTACGCAGTGGGCAGCGCCCACAAGACAGCTCTGGATTAATTCCTTCCAGAACTCTTTCAACACCTGCCAGTTTTTTGTTTGATTTATCGGATTCTGTGATTTTCATTTTACTTTGTTTCTTTAAAGATTTTTAAATTTATATATTTGACAGAGAGAGAGAGAGAGAGAGAGCGAGAGAGGGAACACAAACAGGGGGAGTGGGAGAAGGAGAAGCAGTCTTCCCGCTGAGCAGGGAGCCTATTGTAGGGCTTGATCCCAGCACCCTGCGATCATGACCTGAGCTGCAGGCAGACGCTTAACAACTGAGCCACCCAGGCGCCCCATGATTTTCATTTTAAATACACAGACTTAAATCTATCTCCAGGATTTTTGGTTCTGCCAATGGCTAGGCAATAGATAAGCTCCTTCATTATGTCTGCTTTGGAACTGCTTTATTAAAAGCAATTAGTCTCGATTCCTGTAGTTCTAATAAAAGAACTGCATGTCCTAAGTGCCACTCTGAATGAACATTTACCATACCAAGTAAAATATTATAAATCACAATGCTTATCCACAGATTGAAAATGCCCAGAAATTTCTCATATATTTCCTGGACAGCATCACTCATACTATTTTTATACTCACGCCAACTCAATGAAACAAAAGAAAAATGTTTAAAATTCTTACAATGAAAGCTAGAAATATCCAAAATGCATATATATTCATAGGCACATATGTACATTTGCATGTATGCTCACATATATCCAAATGCACATTTGTTGAGCCAAAATCTTCCACTCTTTTCCATTAACATGGAATAAATTGCTCTTGTCCTCAGTGGAGAGGTGATTGGCTTATTCCGAAGCTAACCCTGATCCTCAAACTATGTCACTCCTGAGAACTTAAAACCCCACAAAAACCTGGACTTGATGACTCAGACTATTAATTAGAGATGCACCTGTCTTCCCACATGCATTTTGTAAATCAAGTCCCATCTAAGTGTATGAGAGGAAAGATAAGACTCAATGATTCACTCTGAAAAGCAGCGATAGATTTCTCAACCCAAGAGAAAAAAAGGATTTTCCCTTTTGAGTATCTAAAAACAAGATGAGCTTGCCCACAAAAGGACTGTAGCTGTCATTTTCGCTCGATACAGCGCAGTCAGTCACCCTCGTTATAAATCCAAGGACAGGGACGCCTGGGTGGCTCAGTTGGTTAAGCAGCTGCCTTCGGCTCAGGTCATGATCCCAGCGTCCTGGGATCGAGTCCCACATGGGGCTCCTTGCTTGGCGGGGAGCCTGCTTCTCCCTCTGCCTCTGCCTACCACTCTGTCTGCCTGTGCTTGCTCTCTCTCTCTCTCTCTCACAAATAAATAAATAAAATCTTTAAAAAAAAAAATAAATCCAAGGACAAAGAACCACTGGTACCATTGACTAAAGCCGGCACAGAATACGGCATCTACTTGCCTGGACTTTCCAATGTGACGGTGCCAAGAGGACCTTAAAACTCTCTTTTCTTGAGAGATGAGTCGATATATTCAGTAAAGCACTAAATATCTTAATTTAGTGGCATTTAATAATGAATATTTAATACATTTTTTTTCTCCCTGTATCATCCATCCTTTCAGTGACACTTGAATTGAAGCAGTGATTCTCAAAGTGGAGTCCCTGGACCCCCTGCCTCAGTATCACCTGGAAACTCATTAGCAAAACAACTTCCCAGCCTGCCCCAGGTCTGGGGAATCAGAAATTCTGGGCACGAGGCCCAGCAAGCTGTCCTTTAACAAGCCCTCCAGGTGATTCTGATGCAAACAAAAGATCCACTGAATTAAGGAGCCACCAATATGCAGATTCTACTCCCTGCTCCCTTCCTCAATTAGAATTTTCAAGATACTTTGTTGAAAGAAAAGTCACCCATGGGGGTTTAGGCTACTTGCTATTATCACCTAAGAAAATTCTTACCGTTGTTTGGTTTGAGGAAAGTAACCTTGGTGAAAACTTACATGTAATTTTTCCAGGCTCTGTGCTGGCTTCGAGTCTTAGGATGCAGGGAACTGGGCGAAGGGAGAGATGAGAAGGCTACAGCAATCCATTCAGACATGGACCCCAAAGCTTTGCAGGGTAACCTTGTGACAGGTCAGTGAGTGTCCACCTGAATGGGGGCGGAAGAGCTGTCCATTAGCAGAGTAAACCTCGCACCTTAATGTTTCTCCCTCCCTCCTGCCATCCTGCTCACCACAAATAGAATATGATAAAACAGTCCATAGGATTAGTGCCTGGGCTCAATCCTATTCCCTGAGCGTTTCCTGAAGGTGAGTATCCTTAACCAGGGACTCTTTTGAACCCAAAAGCAGTTTGGAGGTGGGTCACTGTTCAACCTCATGAATGTTTTTCTTTCAAAAAACCAGAACACCTTGGTTTAGATGACACATGTAACTGCAGTAACAGGAATATGCAGGAAGCAAGGGATAAATTCAGGAACTCTGACTGAAATGAAAGGATTCTCTGATGCATTAAATGTTTATTTTTTTTAATTTTTAATTTTTCTTAGATTTTATTTGTTTATTTGACAGACAGAGATCACAAGTAGGCAGAGAGGCAGGCAGAAAAAGAGGAGGAAGCAGGCTCCCCGCTGAGCAGAGAGCCCGATGCAGGGCTTGATTCCAGGACCCTAGGATCATGACCTGAGCAGAAGGCAGAGGCTTTAACCCACTGAGCCACCCAGGTGCCCCTTAAATGTTTATTTTTAATACTCTTTTCTGATGATAAATTGATACATGCTTATTGTAGAACACTTGGAAACTATGGGAAAGCATAAGGAAAAAGTATCAGGAAACAGACTTAATTGTTGAGAATAGACCAGAGAGGAGGTGGCTGGAGGGATGGGTGAAATCCGGGAAGGGGATTAAGGAACACACCTTTGTGATGAGCGTCAGGTGGTGTATGGAAGTGTTGAATCCCTATACTGTACACCTGAAATTAAGATAACACTGTATGTTAACTAACTGGAATTTACATAAAATGAAAAAAAAGAAAAAAGAAAGATCAACTCTAACTTTGGCACTGATACATCACTAATGATATTTCGTTGTATAGTTCCACAACCCCTTAACTGAAACTCCCAAGTTTCAGAATGTTTTGGAATTCGGAATTGTTTGGATTTTAAAACTATTTGGGTGCAACAACCATTTATCACATAACATTCCATCATGGTCTGGAGCAGCACATATTTCATAATATTTCTACAGCAAAACAGATGCATATTCTTATTAAATTGGATAAAATAGAATCTCACATTAGTTCCAGCCAGGTATTTCTACCAAAGAAATTACAAAAACAAAACAAAACAAAACAAAAACAAAAAACCCTCCAAAACCCAAAACTTTTGATTTTGGAATGCTTTTGAATTCAGAACTGGGAATAAAAGATTGTGGACCAGTATTCCTTTCAGAAACACAAAATACTCAAGAGTTTTGTTTCTTTTCTTTTTTTTTTTTTCCATTTTTAAAAAGATTTTATTTATTTATTTATGAGACAGAGTGAGAGAGCGAGCGAGAGTGCGAGAACACAAGCAGGGGGAGAGGCAGAGGCAGAGGGAGAGGGAGAAGGGCAAGCAGGCTTGCCACTCAGCAGGGAGACTGAAGCAGGACTTGATCCCAGGACGCTGAGATCATGATCTGAGCAGAAGGCAGCTGCTTCACCGACTGAGCCACCCAGGTGCCCCTCAGAGTTTTGTTTCTATTTTTCATTTGATGTTAAATGACTGTGAGCATTTCCCCAAGTTATTAAAAACACTTCAAAAACATGTTTTTCAATGTCTATGTGATATTATACCCCAAAGAAAAGAGTTTTATGTAATGATTTCATTTTGGGAATTACAGTTTTTGTTGTTGTTGATGCAAATAAGACTTTGGGGGACATATTTGAATATTAGATTGGCCTGAATTTCTGAATACTATCTTAGGTAGACCCTTAAAAAGAATTACTGGGTCAACTAGTGTGATCTGTAAGGGTCTCAATGATTTTCCAGAAAAGCTATACCAATTCATACTCCTAACACAGCATGAGTGCCTGGTTAATTTGTTTAATTACCCACATTATCATAGGCATAGAAAAAAGTACACTTGCATCTCATACATCTTAACAAAGCTCTAATCAATGATAATCATGCTTAGGAGATTTTATTTTTGTTTTTCTTACACAGAAGATAGTGAACAGCTCACTATCTATGACACAACAAGAGAGAATGGGATCAATGTGAGTTTACCCTCAAGTGGAACCTCATTCAAGCAGACTGAATCCCATCTGGGCAATAACGGAGTTGTCACTTGTCCATGGGGTCTTAACTTGGAAAAAGGTATAGGGGCGGGTATGGGAATAATTCAGACGTCATCATGAGAAGACAAATTATTAATTATTTGTGGGCTGATTAATTCGGTTTCTAGGCTCCTGAGGACTTGGGTTTCTCTTCCTTTGGGTGTTTTGTATTTCTTGGATGTTTTGCTGCTGCTCAGCAGCCATCAGAAAGAGATGTGAAGACAAAATCATCAGACAAGCTAATAATAATGAGTACTAAGCCTTCTGAGTGCTTACAGTGTATCAACTCTGGTCCTGGGTGCGATATGGGTATCATCTCATTTAATGCTAAGGGCACTGGTTTAAAAATCAGTAGCTGCAAAATCTGAAAGCATGTGCTCACTCATCAATCACCCTTCCACCCTAATAAGTTTGGAGGAATTAGAAGTTTAGAATTTCAAAGACCTATCCAAGCCTAGGCTCTTAAATACCATCACCCCAAGTATGGCTACAAACCACAAACTCTACCTTTATGCTTTTTGGATCAACACCCTCTACAATATCTATCCAAAGCAGGGGGAAATGACATAAATAAAACACAAGGAAACTCTAGATAATAATAAACACTTGGAAAGTCCTGTCTGTACAGGAGGGAGGCCATACCTCTTACAGTACAATAGAGAGTTAGGAGTCTGTCCTGTAACACAAAGCAGGGTATATGCAGAGAAGACACAAAGATACGCCCATAATACATACTTCAGAAAACAAACACACAAACACAGTCTTCCCAGATGTGACTACAAATTGGTAATGATAACATGAGGACTCACAACCTCAAGTTTCTTTTCATTTATAGCTTTGGCTAATAATTTTTCTCTTTTCCCTTTATATGTATTTAATCTTACAGGATAATTGATGTAGAGCATGCTACCATTTTCGTATGCGTCTAAAAGAAAACTGAAGAGATACTTCCTTATTATATGGAATGAAAATAACGTCACTCTTTTTCTTGTCTATAAATTCAATTTCTCAATAGTGGAATATAGTATATTCTATAAAACGGCTGAAGTTCAGAGAGAGAGAGAGAAAGAAAGAAACACACAAAAAAATTCCATTTTATTCTGGGAGTGTGTCGAGTTGATCTTCCCAATAATCTTATCTTAGTAAGGGATGTTTCTATCAAAATTACCAAAAGACCAAAAGACAAAAGATATATCAAGAAGTGAATAATTTCCTTCACTGTGGCTTCTCTTTATAATTGAAGTAACATTCTTGTGACAGGTAGGTGTCAACTGAGTAGAATGGCTCCTACATGATTCTTCTTTGCCACAATCATATATGTGGTTAATTTTCTAAGTATACTAGGACTATAGGGTGTGAAAAATAAGAGCAGTAATAGAGGAAATGACCCCACAAAGAAATACTTTGTTTTTTCCCAAATGCCTAATTGCTTGGGGGAAAATACAAAAAATAAAATAAGCCACCTACTAATAACAGAAATGATTACCAGAAACTCTTTATATACTCAAACTGCACAACTAACATTTCTAAAGCTAATTACAAATTTGGATTCTCTCATTTTAAAAATACACTTCGAAGCAACCCACTTCTGTTTTAATGCTGAACCGAAGTCTGTGCAATTGGCACACTATCAAAGTAAAAAAAATGCGTCGCTTGAACAAAGTTACCACTTTCAATGTCACTAAATCTTGAACTGCAGAATACCACAAGCTAAAAACTAGTAATACCATGTGGTTATGTTATCTTACATTTACAAAGGAATGTATAGTTTCCCAAGCCCTAAGAGGCTGAGACCTCTGTTATCACAGGAGCTTTGTTATCTTGGGGAGGTCATTCGCAGCCTCCGAGCCTAACACCTTTCACATACATGTTCTTGGGAGGATTAAATGAGAATGTACACACAAAAAATTTTTGCAAATTATAAGATATATGTAAAATGTGGGGTATCATTGTTCTTTTTACTAGTGACTCTGTGAGGCATAAATCCATCAATCCTCATTTCATAGTTAAGGAAACTGACAACAGGAACAAATAAAAAAATAAAAGTGCCAAGTTAGGATATTCAAGCTCTGTCTCTAAACTGGCCACAAACTGGCAGGTGACTCTCTGTGACTTTTTTCTTCAGTAAAATGAATGGGTAGGATGAGGTGATTTTAAGGTCTTCTTGAAGCCAATGGTTCTGTAATCTGGGACTCGGCCATGCCATGGTGGTGAGAAGGCAGCCCTTAGAAAAAGTCTTTGGGAGCAGTCCCTCCCGGAGGCCAAGTGCAGCAGCCATCAATTTGAGACCTCCAGTGCTGGGATGGGGCGCGTCCCTAAGCAGTCTCTCAGCTCCCAGGATAGCACTGGCATTAGCGAATTCATTTTACTGGATTAAGGGGAGGTTGGAGGATACTAGGTGAATGGCCAGGGCCTCTGGGCCACAGGAAGTAGGTACTGGAGGAGCTTGAAACAGTAGCCCTTTATTAACTGGTACAGACATTTCACATACTAACTCGTGTCGTCAAATAAGTCTATACTGCTGTACTGTCAGTCTTGCTAACAGCCCCACCATTATCTGGTTCTCAGTTTCAAAGAGATAGCCCCTTCTGTGGGCCACTCACCTTTCTTGACTGAACTCCTACAGTGCTGGGGAGAGAGATGTGAAAGGGCTACTGTTTTTTTTTTTTTTTTTTGAAAGGGCTACTTTTTGAATTATGAGTGCACATCATGGTCACATGGGACACTTTAAAAAGACTGGAGCCACTGACTTCGGTCTCCACTAATGATACTCTACCGGCACTAACACAACTTTCTGTGATGACAAAAATACTCAGTATTTGTGCTCTTCAATAT